TAGTGGTAGTGCGCTCACCTGGCTCTTGTGAGGCACTGGGTTCACCTCAGCATCACATAAAAATAAAATAAAGATACAATTAAAAAATAAATATTGTGAGAGTGAGAGAGCTGAGTATTATGGAGTCTGTCATCCCAGTGACTAGGGAGGCTGAGACAGGAGGATTGCAAATTCAAGGCCTGCCTCTGCAATTTAGAGAGGCCCTCAGCAATTTAGCAAGACCCTGTCTCAAAATAAAAAAAATAAAGGACTGGGGATGTAGTTCAGTGTAGTACACCCCTGGTTCAATCCCAGCACCTCAAAAAAAGGAGGTGGTGGGGAGATGACAGAAAATTTCTATGTCACTATGGTTGTTACTACATTCCTTTATACATTTGTCAAAACTTATTGAATTTTACACTTTAAAACTGGTTAATTTTGTTGTATGAGATTACATATCTCAATAAAGTTGATAAATAATTTTTTTTTAGTGATTTGCACTAGACCCGAGTCACAGCTCGGCCACAAGCCTGGAGATATTCATGGGGGTCAAGAGACAGGTCTCCCAGAAAAGGGCCTGTGCTTCCCCAGTTCCTCCATGCCTTTCTGGGGGGACCTGGGTTTAAAAAGCCATATAAAGGACATGGGAACATTAATTCCAGTCAATAAAAGACACTGTTGAATCCTGCTTGGGGAAATTTTATATTTGACGAGGTACTGATTTGAAGACCTGCAGGCCCATTTTCTGTAACACAATGATAAAGGACATGGTTTTCTTACTCTTCCCTCAGTGTGGGCTTGTCCTGACCTGATTTTAGGGCATTCTTCCTCAAAGGGTCTTTAAAATTTTTTAAACTTCTAACATATAAAAAAATGCCCTTTTCCTGGGCACAGTGGAGCACACCTGTCGTCCCAGCAGCCTGGGAGGCTGAGACAGKATTGTTCAAAGCCATCCTCAGCAAAACCAAGGCACTAAGCAGCTCAGTGAGACCCTGTCTTTAAATAAAATACAAAATAGGGCTGGGCATGKGGCTCAGTGGTGGAGTGCCCCTGAGTYCAATCCCTGGTAACCTGCCACCCCCATCCCCCAAACAGCCCTTTTGACATTCAAAATCTGGACTTCCCATTTCTCTTAAGAAAAACAGAGAGCTGGATGCAGTGGTGCATGCCTGTAATCCCAGCAACTCAGGAGGCTGAGGCACGAGGATCATAAATTCCCATCCAGCCTGGGAAACTTATCGAGGCCTAAAGTGATTTGGGAGACACTGTCTCAAAATAAAAAATAAGCCAGGTGTGGTGGCCCATGCCTATAATCCCAACAGCTCGGGAGGCTGAAGCAGGAGACCCTAAGCAACTCAGTGAAACCCTCTCTCTGAATAAAAAATAAAAAGGGCTGGGAACGTGGCTCAGTGGTAAGGCACCCCTGGGTTCAATCCCTAGCAGCAACCCCCAATCCCACCCCAAACACAAAGAAGGAGATGAAAGAGAGAATCTGGCTTCCCTGGGTCAAGTCCCCGTGAGGGTGTAAATGTCTGAAATGACTTTGGCCGCCATGGTGGTAAATGGGACAGCATCGACCCAGCCTACCCCAGCATTTATCTCACCTGGCTACTCCTGGGGAACCCAAGACCTTGTACCTACCAGTTACCTTGTTTCTTCAACAACAACAAAAAATACTTGGGATTGAATCAGGGGTGCTTAACCACTGAGCCACATGCCCAGCCCTCTTTTATTTAGAGACAGGGTCTCACTGAGTTGCTTAGGGATTAGGGCCTTGCTAAGTTGCTGAGGCTGGCTTTGAACTCTTGATGCTCCTACTCTCGATCCTCCTGCCTCAGCCTCCTGAACTACTGGGATTATAGGCGTGTGCCACTGTGCCCAGCATTAAATATTTTTTWAAAATCCCTTTTCTTTTTCTTTCCTTTTTTGCAGCAGCGGGCTGTATCCCGGGATCCTGCATATCCCAGGCCGTGCTCTCCTGTGGAGCCATGCCCTCAGCCCTCCTCAGATATTTACCTGGACCTGTTCTGTACACTGGGCATCATCCTGCTGGATCTCACAGCATCCCCACAAAGGTAGGCAGTGTCACCATCATCTTTTACAGGTGAGGGTGCTACTGAGACTCAGAGGGATGGGGACCTGAAACACAGCTCCAAGCCAGGGTTCCTGAGCATACCCTCCCCAACACACCAAGAGCCACCAGACACAGAACCGGGGCTTTCCGTACCACAAATCAGCACAGGATACCTTTGGGCAGGATGAGAAACCTACCGCATGGGGCCTCTGAAATCAGGGCAAGGCGTGTGAAATGCCCTGAATCTTGCCAAACAGAGCAAGCGTGGGGAGGTGGGCACCACAGGCAGGGGCCACATTGCCTTGTCACCCCTGAGCCCAGTGTCCCTGTCACCCCAGAGAGGGAACCCTGGGGTTGGACCTATCTTTACCTGTGTCATCTCTATCCACAGCCACCATCGGCATCAGGCTAGACACACTGCACGGGCCAAGTACATGCTTGTTGAGTGGCAAGTGTGCAGACAGATATATTGAAGGTGTGCAGACTGCACGTACCACAGCATGCAAGGCCCGTGTCTGGCTCCCCTACCGGGCTGCAGCACCAGCGGGCAGCCACCCTATTGGATGTGACTTTTCATCCCAGCATCCAGCTGGGAGCAGCCGGGCAATATGTGCTTACTAAAGCCCATTTCCTCTTGGAACTTGGGGCTCAGAGGGTGAAGTGGCTGGCCAAGAACACACAGTTGGTGAGCAGAAGAGCCAAGCTCAGGGTCCAGGCTGGCCTGGCACAAGCCTGGCTCTCCCTGTTCCTAGAGTTGGGGGCACCCTGGCAGCCTCAGCCAGACCTGCCCCACCACGTTGCCTGCCTGACTCACCTTCCCATCTGGCACGCTGCTATAGCCACTGAAGTGCAGGGGCCCMGACACCGTGGGCCTGGAGCTCAGAGGTGGGAGGCGGTCCTCCAGGCAGGTCGTCAGGCAGAGGGGCAGGCAGGCCCAGCAGCACAAGAGGACGTAGACAGCAGAGAAGACCAAGGAGCACAGGATGATGAGCAGAAGGCGATCCTGGGGAGACAGTGGTCATGGGGAATGGGGGGGTACTTGGGCCTCCCAGATCTAAACCCCACTTCAACAGCCCCGAGAATTCCCAGTCTCTATGAACCAGGCCTTCCTCAGAGGTGCCAGGTTCTGGGCACATGAAGCCATGGAAATAACTTTAGCATCCTATTCTTAGATAAGGAAACCAATTTGGGTTGAAGACAGAACTCAAGTTCAAGGCCACACAGCAAAGAGGCAGCAGAGTGCAGGTGGGGGGCACTTCACGTTTCAACCTGATGCTTGGGTGCACCGTGCAGCCTTGGGTATGAGTCTCCATCCCTCTGGCCCAGGGTGGCCTCCATGGCTCCATGCCATCCCCACCCCCATCCGACTCAGGGGGCAACCCCCTAGCCGATGATCAGGCTGGGGATCAGTAGTCCAGGTGGCAGAGGGGGACTTCAGAGAAACACTACTCAAGAAATGCTTTCAGTACTTGGAGAGCTGCTGCCCGGACACCCCACCCCTAGAAACCCAGTGCCAGAGGCTATTTGAACCAGGAAGTCCTTCCAGCCCTCTAATCTAGCCTGGTTTGGGGCCAGCCCTGTTGGCCCACTCAGTGAAAGCCCCCTTGAAGCCTTCCAGGAGCTGCTGCCTGGTGGGGGACAGGATCCTCCAACTGCCATTGTGTGCTGGCCCATCCTGGTCAACATGTGTCTCTCGGGCTCTCATTTTCCAGGCCCTCTGCCACCCCTCACAAAGCAGCTGCTGGTTCTCTCTGGAAAGCAGAGTGGGAAAGCAGCCCCTGTCAGCCCCCAGGCACATCCTGCCAGAGGTCTACCCTTTCTTTTCTGCCCAAAGTCACATCAGTTTCTAAAAATAAATCTCCTCTGAGGCCAGCTGTTCAGGGGATAGGGTTTAGTCTGTGAGGGTTCAGGCTCTGCCGAGCACCTGGTCCCCTGTTCACAAGGGACCAAAGACCCAGAGACCTTGACTCACTCAGTTTGGCAACTGACCTTAACATCCCCATCACTCAGGTCTCTCCCCACAACCAGGTACCCTCATTAAAGAGAAGGCAGCAGACCTGAACTTTCCCACACTAGCTCACTCGTGGGTGGACCCCATGTGGGTGACCATGTAGTACTATTACCTCCATTTTATGGGCGAGGGGAGCAAGATACTGAAACCAAAAAGGGGATATCATTTGCCTGGATCACACCATCTCCAAGAGCAGAGCTGGGCTCTGAGGCCAGTCATCCTTCTCCTCTGCTCAGGAACAGTGTGGTCAGAGTCACCACCAGGGTCTGGGGTGTGGCTTAGTGGTGGAGGCTTAGTCCTTGGTGTGCCCAAGACCCTGGTCCAATCCTGAGCACCTTCTCCAAAAGTGACCATCATTCTTGGCATGGGAAAGCTGCTGAGGCTACTCTGTGGCAAGGTACCTCAAGTCCCCAGGAGCCCTTCCAAGCCACTTACCCGAGCCTTCATACTGTCACTGGCTGTCAGCAGTCGGGAGGCTGCTGTCTCCAGGGCTTGGGCTGGAAAGGGGTGTGAGCCCGGCACCTGCCAAGACCCAGAAACTCAGAACAGGGAAGGGATAGTGGACAGGGTCCCGAGAAACTGAGGCAGAAGAGGGTCCAGGCTGGGGTCAAGGCAAATGGAGTTGAGGTATCAAATGCCTTAAAGTCTCAAAAATGGGACCTCAGCGTCCCACCCTAAAGGAGCTAGAATCCGAGACCTTCGAGAGTCCTCCCACCAAGCCAATCCCCAGTGTGCAGATGAGGAAGGAGAGGGAGCGAGGAGATGCTCCCGACTCAAGGTCACCCATCAGGTCCGAGGCACATGGAGTCAGGAGCTGGAATTCCTGCCCATCCATCCTACCTCCCTACCCGGGGACGATGGAGAGGCCTGGGACCGGCACGACTGGGACTTCCATCCCTCAAGATTCCCCGCCCCCTCCCCCGGCCGAGCGCTAACCGGGCGGGCAGTTTAGGGCGCTCCGGAGGCTCCCGGTTCGGTGCTCGCAGATCCATGTCCCGCGGGCCGGGCCGGCCGGGCTGGAAGCCGGGGCCCCAGGCGGAGGCGGCGCCGCGGCCGCAGCTCCTGGAGGCTGGGAGCCCAACCAGCGCGGCCGGGGCGGAGGCGGGGCCTGCGGGGACGGGGCGGAGACTGCGCGCCCGGGGCGGGGCCTAAGAGCGCGCCCGGCGCGACCTGGGGCGGGGCCAGCGGCGCGGGCGGGCTGTGCGTGGCCGCCCACACGGCCTCCGGGTGAGGGCGGGGCGCCCGCATCGCGGCTTTTATCTGGATTTCCGCTTCTGCCCCTTTCGTCCTCCCGCGTTCTCTCCGGTCCCTTGCCCGGGCGCTGGACAGAGGAACGAGACCCGGAGGGTGTCGGAGCCACGGTGCGGTGGCGGCCTGGCGGATCAGACTTGAGTTTCCGCCGCTGGGGGTGGGGGCCAAGGAAATTAATCAGGGCTGCGGTCAGGGAGCCTGCCTTTCAAGTGGGTCATGTTGCCAGTAAAATGTCAGAAGCCCAGTTAAATTGGAATTTAGTTAAACAACGAAGAAGCGAATTTTTTAAAATATAATTGATCGTGACCCGGTGACCCTCACCTGAGCCTGTGTAAAGTAGAAATGTGAGACCGAATGAGCCAGGATTGGAACTGCGGGAGGCTTCCCTCCAGAGCAGGTCTCCAGAGAGGCACCTCCCAGAGCTCTTTTCCCTAGTGCCTGTGAGTCCCATTAATTCAGTCTCATCTGAACTGTGTCCCATTTGAAGGCTCAGATGGCATCCCATAAGGATCTCAAATGCAGATGACTTCAGGGGCTCAACTGAAGGGGCAGGTATGGGGCCAAGGGGGCGGGGTAGGCCTCCTGCAAAGTGGAACACACAGGTCCCAAGATCTTTTTTTCTTAAAAGTTGCATTTGGGCAAAATGGATAGAGTGCTTACCTAGCATGCACAGGGCCCTGGGTTCCATCCCAGCAGGCAGAAAGCAAACAACAATAAAAAAAACCATCTCACCTAACAATAAAAAAAACATCTCACCTAACCATCCCAGCCAAGCCCACCTACCTGCTTTGGGGCACTAGCCTGGGAACCAGCCTGGTTTCCTCTCTGGACCCCATTTTAGAGTCCATTTTCCATTTTCTCAGAGGCTTGGGGTTGGGCAGGATGCCAGAGGGTCCATCCCCAGCACAGCAACCTTCCATGTCTACCCTGCTCCAGGTGCAAGGCCAATCCCCCCCTCCCCCCCACAGGCTCCCAAGCCTTTCCCTATTTTGTTCAGGGGCAGGGAGAGTGACTCAAGTGGTGCTGATCCTGGAAGTTCCCTTTGAGCACAAGCCCTCCTTTTTCCGCCCAGCAGAGAGAGCTTGGCCCCTCAGTAACACAGTAGGTCCCCAAAGTCAGAGCCCTTGTGCCTTCCAAATCCTAGTCCTTCCAGTTTCTCTGAACACAGACCCAACCCCAAGGGCCTAATGGTGAAAAGTTCCCTGTGGATTCATTCATCATCATCATTCATCATTCATTCATTCATCACGCACAATGACTGGTGAAGCAATGATTCCTTCCTCGGGAGATTTGATAGGGCAACAGACACAATGACATGCCCAAATTGCCCAAGCTCCCAGGGTAGATAAGGATCCTAAGTCCATAGTGGAACTGAGATCAGGAAATTTGACAGCCCCAGATGAAACTCTTCAGTTGGGTTTTGGAAGCATCAACCATCCTTWCTCCAGACTATAAGCCCTGTACCATGTTAAGGCCTGACTGCCTTTCAGTCACTCTCCTTCCACTCTGGCCATCCTCTGACACACCAGTCACATCGAGCTTCTTCCTATCTCAGGACCTTTGTACTCATGGCATCTTCTACCTGGACTTCTTATCACATGGCTGGTTGACTTTTTTCGTAATACTTGTCACACTCTGAAATTTCTCTGTATTAATCGGTTTCTTTATTTATGGCCCCTCTGCCCACTAGATTCTCCTCTCTGACCTGTCATGTTCTCAGGGACATCTCCAGCTTCGCACAGTGTCTGGCACATACTAGGAGCACCTAAATGTCTGTTAAATGAACAAAAGAGGCCAGGAGTCATGGTCCCATGAGAACCTGGACAATTCACTCCCCCACCCCTGCAGCTGAGTGCCCCGCCAAGACGCACTGCAGGGCTGACCATCACTCTGCAGGACAACAGGGCTCTGTGCTCTTGGTCAGCCCTGTCGGATCCAGACCGGAGGAAATGTGGCAGCTGACCCCAGTTCCTGCCAACACCCGGCTCCCCTAAACTTCCCTGACCCATCACCTCCCGTCTGATAAGGAGAACTTAACAGCTCTGCAGCCCAACTTCCTGCTGGGCAGGAGTAAGGAATTCCATGGTTCCTGGCAGCTCAGAGAGGTTGAGTCATGACCCAAGGCCACCCAGACAATAGCAGTGATGTCAATATCTTAAAAGTAAATATCCCTGGAACTCATGCTCCCACTATCTCTTGGCTGCATCCAACAGGCATTGGAATGAAAATACTGGTGTCACTGAGTGACCTTCTCCAGCCTCCCCTAGGGGTCTCACCCACACTCCCCCCACTGTCCCATTTCGCCCCCAGGCATTTTCTTTCTGTCATGCTGGGCTTCTCCCATCCCAGGGCCTTTTGTGCTCTTGGCTGGAACCCCCCCCCCCCCCCCCACCCCCTCACCCCCCCTGGGAGTCCTCTGACTCTTCTGGTCTCTGTTAAGTCTCCTCCCACTGGAGACTCCTGGCTGCAGCTCCAGGGCCCCTGTGCTTCTCCATGGGGCTTTGTCACACCAGATTGCTTTTGTCACCCAGACTCTGAGTTCCATGAAGTCATCTTGCTCCATCCCTGGGTTTCCATTGCTCAGCAGAGAGCCTATCCACATGGCAGGTGCTCAATAAATATTTAATGAATTAATGAGGTCTCTTCATCCTTTCCAACTTCACACATTAAACCACTGAGGCACAGAGAGGTTTAGCACCTTGCTCTGGTCACACAGCCTAGAGCAGCTGAAGGAAAGGCCCGCTTGGGCCTGGTTGGATTGGACTGGGGTCAGAGGCCAGGCTGGAGTTTCCTGGAGGAGGGAGAGGGGGTGATATGGGGCYAGGCATGGATCCTAGTAGTATCTGTACAGTCCAGACCTTTGTTCTGACAACTGACGCTTGCCTCCATTTCACAGATGAGAAAAATGACTCTCAGAGGAGGGCAGAGCTCACTGGAGATAAATGGTGCACTTTTAAAATGTATCCCAGAGCTCCAAGAAGCCCCCTCCCCCGACCTTCTCCCACCTCCGAGGGAGTAAGGCCTGGGTACTCAGGGCTGAACTGGCCACTTACCCCTTCAGGCCTCTGGGCCTCTGTTTCCCCACATGGATGACGAGGGGAAGGGCGTTCGGCCTCCCCCCTTCCCCGGAGCATGAGGATAGGGCCCGGGAGCCGGTGCCCAAGAATACAGGCTCCCTGGTCCAAAAGGCATGGTGGAGTCCTGGTTCCAGCATTTATTGCTGAATAATCTTGCTCAGTGCCTTCACCCCTGAGCCTCCATTTCATGGTCTGTAAAGAGAGAATAGTGGCATTTTTTGAGGATTAAAGGAACTGATTATAGGGAAATCCTCGACGCGACACGGGGCCCAGCACCACCAGCAAAAGGAGCAGAGCTGGTTGGCGGATGCTGCCCTCTGATGGCCATCCGGAGGAACGGCAGGCGGGCTGCCCAGGCCGGCGGGAACCAGCGTTCCTGGCGTGCGCCCATTTCCCGAAAAGGAGAATGGGGCCAGGTGCTGGTCACTCGGTGTGCTCCTCTACCCACTGGCAGAGGCGACGGGCGTAGCGAGCCGGGCTGACGGTGGAGAAGGTCCGGCCCGGGTAGCGCAGCGTCTTCCACAGGTGCTCCAGCCGCTTGCGAAGCCCGTAGACGGTGGCCAGATCCACTAGGCCCAGGAAATAGCGCTGCTCGGGCCCGTCCAGGATGTGGAGGGCGTTGGGGGCGTCTGGCAGCAGCCGGCGGTTCTGCGCCTCCGGCTCCTCCGGGCCCTGCGCCCCTTGCACAGACCTGGGGTGGGCCAACAGCAGAGTGAGGCTGCCTCCTCCTCCAGGGAGCCCCGGCGCCCAGCCCCGCTCCCTCCCGCCGCGCCTGGGCCTGTGGCGTGGGGTCAGCTGAGGCCGAGGGAAGGGCAGCCTGCGCCCCCGAGCTCCCTGCAGGGCACAGCACTGGCCACGCGTGCCCGGAGCACCCGAAATGCAGCCGGCCCCGGTGGAGACGGGGCCGAGACGGCATGAAAAGATTTTTATGTTGATCAGATGAAATTGATCAAATTTGGGATGCACTGAGTAAATTATATTGTTAAAATTAATTTCATCTGCCGGAAGCGGTGGTGCACACCTGTCATCCCAGCGTCTCGGGAGCTTGAGGGATCGGAAATTCAAAGCCAGCCTCAGCAAAAGCGAGGTACTAAGCCACTCAGTGAGACCCAGTCTTTAAGTGAAGGGTTGGGGGTGTGGCTCAGTGGTCAAGTGCCCCTGAGTTTAATCCCCTGTACCAAAAAATAAAATAATAATATTAATAAAGCTCAGGTGCTTTCATTATTTTTGTCTTGGGTAGTGCCAGTCTAGAGCATTTGGGTCACACAGATGCTGGCTCTGGGCTTATGAGCCATGTGACTTTGGGTAAATCCCTTATTTGGGTATTGCCTAAACTGTTTGGGTCATCTAACCCGGGAAGTCTCAGGGCCACAGCTGAAACTTTTCAAACAAAGTACAACAACCCCAGTTTGCAAATATGTGTGCATGAATTTGCCTCAAAACATATTGCAAATCAGAAGATGTATTTGGCGAGACTACCAGTCCCAGCAGAAGCAGGTTCAATTCCCTAACTTTGTCCTGTGGGGGTCGCTGAGGGACTTTATTCCTGTCCTATCAGGGCTTGGGGGAAAAAAAATGCCAAAGGAGATAAACCCTGTCAGCACCAATCAATCAGGACCGGGGGTTTGAGAGTCCAGGCGAGGTGTACCTGGGGGTGTGGGGCAATGTGTTTGTTTTCTGAGTGGGGGTGGGAACTGGGGGTGGTGGTGAGAACCAGCATAAAAAATTTCTATGTAACAATAACCTCAGTAATCTTTCTTTCTTTCTTTTTAGTGGTAGATGGACAAAATACCTTTATTTATTTTTATGAGGTGCTAAGGATCAAACCCAGGGCCTCACATGTGCTAGACAAGTGCTGTACCCCTAAGCCACATCCCCAGCCCAATAACCTTTCTTTCTTTCTTTTCTTTTTCTTTTCTTTTTTCTTTTTTTGGTACTGGGCATTGAACCCAGGGGTGCTTAACCACTAAGTCACACCCCCAGCCTCCCCCCCCCTTTTTTTTTTTTTGGTCTAGAGACAGGGTCTCACTAAGTTGCTTAGGTCTTTGCTAAGTTGCTGAGGCTGGCACTGAACTCGCCCTCCTCCTGCCTCAGCCTCCTGAGCCACTGTGCACCACCACACCCAGCTGTAACAATAACCTTTCTAAGCAAACCAGGACTTGCTGGCTGAATGCCAGCAGTGGCCTAAGCATCAGCTGCATGTAGAGGGCAAGGAAGGAGCCCACCTGAGCTAGACAGAGAAGGCCCTGTGGCCACAGCAAGCGCCATCTAATCAGGTGGGCCCAGCTGCCTGGGGAGCATCACCCTGGGTTCTGCTTATCCCCACCATTCCGAGGTCTTTTTCTAAGGGGCAGGAATGGAGGCTGGAGGAGAGAACCTCGTCTTTCACTTCCCTTGTTCACCCACCAGATCAATGGCTTCGAGTCTTCAAGTGCCTGTTTTAACCCCATGTCATTCCATTCAAGCACAGTGGGGCGGGCTGGGGAGAACGCCTATCTAATAACTAACCACGAGCCCACAGGTCCTCAGGAGTCATCCCACAATCTGGCTTCCCTCTTTCAGCCTCTGTGTTCACATCTCTAAAATGAGAGCCCAGTCTCAGTGAGGCTCCTGGTTAATATGCAAGGAGTGACAATTATTACTATAAAGGGGGGGGGGGTGCACAATGATGGTGGCATTGGTGAAGCCCTCAGGGCTGTGGAAAGGGGATGCCTGGGTTAGAGGGTAGGATGCTTCTTTTCTTCCTTCCTTCCTTCCTTCCTTTCAGTACAGGGGATTGAACCCGGGCCTTGCACATTCTAGTCAAGTGCTCTACCACCGAACCATATTTCTAACCTTTTTTTAAAATTTTGAGATAGTCTTACTAAGTTGCTGAGACTGGCCTCGAGCTAGGGAATCCTCCTACCTCAGCCTCCTGAGCAGCTGGGAGTATAGGCGCGTGCCACCATACCCGGTGGCAAGGACTCTTTCTGTGGCTGAAATTAAACAGGTGTGTCCCCTGGTCTGAAACCTTCAGTGATTCACATCCCTTGCTGGAAAATGGGCAGACTCTTCAAATCCCTTGACCAACTGGACCTCATCAGTTATGTCCCTGGCTGTGGTCCACCTGTGCCCCTTGCCTCTACCAGCCTGGCTTCTCTAGCCCCTGCCTTCCATGCACATGCTCACACCTACACACACTCACCTGCACACTCGCAGGCCCTGCACCTCCCAGTGTCTGAGTCTGTGCCCTGCACACCCAGCGTTCCCACACCTTGCCCTCGGTCTTTCCCACCCTTCTTCTTGCTGTTGCCCTGTGGGGCTCACCTGGCCATGCGGAAGATGAGGCAGCTGCCCTGGCCCCTTTCGTCCTCATGGAGACACTGGAGGGCCATCAGCAGGCTGTAATCCAGCACGTTGAGCTCCCGGAGGAAGGTGGTGTCCAGTTCCATCTGGCGGAGAAGCCAGCTCCGTTGGGGCCCTGAGGATCATCAGTAACCCCCTGAGCTCTCAGCATGGGCTAGCCATAGGAAGGCAGTCCTGTCCCCAATTCACAAATGGGGAAACTCATCTATCATTTTCCTCGGCCACCTAGCTTTGCAAGTTGTGAAGCCAGGATTTGAAACCTGTTCTACTTGACCCAGAATCTAGGCTCTTAAGGATTCAGGCAGAGGGCAGTGCAGGGACATCCATCTGCAATTCACCCTGGCAGAGTCGGTGACCACACCCATGGCTCACCCAGGTTGATGGTCTTGCCCTGAAAGTTGAGGTCCTTCAGCACTAAGACAAGGGGACTGCCCTCAGGGGCCGGCTCCACCCAGCGGCTCACCTCGCAGCCCTTGATATCATACCTGAAGGTGGGGAGACAGGTTCAGCTTTGCATAGACAAGACACACAACAACTCCACAAGTTAATAATTAGAAGACTTTCTACTGGGTGACTGTTGGTGTAGACACCAAACTCTTTATATACAGCATCTCTAAAACTCAGAACAACCCCAGTCTGCTAGTGGCCCCATGCTAGAAATGAAGAGACTGGGGTCTGGAGAGTTCCTCTGACTTCTCTGAGCCACACAGTAAGTAAAGACCAGAACAGGGATTCACACTCAAGCCTCTGGAAACCCAGCCCTGATGTAGCTCATCTTGTAGCTGCTTCTTGACACCTGGTCAACCCAAGAGTGTCCCAGAAGCAGGGACATCACCAGGAGGGCAGGGGAAAGTCGATGGCTGTGGGGAACCTTCGGGCAGAGTCACCGGGGGCTGTATGTAACTGGGCTGGGTTTGGATCCCTGCTCCTCTTATTCATGGTATGACCTTGGCCTTCCTCAGTTCCTCAGCTATAAAATGACAATGGCAACACCTATCCCTCCACCTCCTTCTGGGAGTAAAGAAGATAATGAACGCAAGAGCTCAATATAGTGCCCAGAGCACACTGAGTGCGCAGGAGATGCAGGTGGCTGGTGTCACTGTCTCTGACCCACCGGGTCTTTGGAATGTCCCTTCTTCCTCGGCCTCGGTGAGTATGCTTCAGGTGACGCACTCCAGGTGGCATCGTGGCCCTGTGCCTACTCCCGCCCAACTCACCTCTCGGAGATGCGGCCGGCGGGGTAGAAGACGCTCTGCATGATGATGAAGTATTTCTGGGGACAGGCATGAGGAGTGAGGGAAGCCAGGACCTCACCTTCCAGCCGCCCTCCACCCAGCCACCTTGTCTCGGCCTCACCCACCTTCTTTCCCTGGGCCACCCTCAGGCTGTGGACTCCTGGAAGGAGAGAGGGGGCAACGTGAGGCCCCCAAGTTCCACACCCTGGGTCCAACCAGCCTCCATGCCAGCTCCAGGCCTCGTCCTCAAAATTCGCAGCATCCTGAGCCCGTCCCTCCAGGCCCCGCCCCCAGACCCCTTCTCTGACTCGAGTGGGTGTCCCCACCCCAGACAAAGCTCCAGCGACACCCCCACAGGCAAGGTCCAGGCACCCACTGACTGTCCAATCCCAAATCTATGCCCTGGGGCCCCGCCCCAGACCCTGGCCCCGCCCACAGACCCCAGCACCCGCTGGAAATTTTGCCCTCTGAGGCCCGCCCCCAGCCCGCGTACCCAGCAACCGGGCTAGCAGCGAGTGCGGGTGCCGCTGTAGGTGCTGCACGTAGCGGGGCAGGTGGGTGAGCAGCACCCTCACCTCCCGGCGCCGCTGGGTCTTCAGAAAGAAGCGCTGGTCGTGGCTGCGGGGTGGGGAGGGGGTGTCTCTGTCTAACCTGGCTGAAGAGTCTCCCACCCGGCCTCCTGCATGAGGCTCCTCCTCCCGGTCTGGTCCTGTGGCCTCCCCGCCCACCCTGGCCCTCAGTCTTTCCTCCCCACATTAGACCTCCCCCTGGCCCTGATCCTCCCTGAGCTTGACCGYTGTTTCTCTCCCCAGTGGACTCTCCCCCTGCCCGGGGTGCCACCTCCACCCCGCTCCCACCCCTGCAGCAAGCTCACGACAGGAAGAAGCTGGCCTTGCTCTTAGAGGTGCTGAGAAACTGCAGGTAGGGGCCGCCGGGGCCCAGCGCAGCCTGATAGTCCTCTTCGGCTAGACCAAGGGAGCGCCGCAGCCGGGCGAAGGCTGGGCCAGCGAGGGTGCCCAGCTCGAAGCCCTGGGAGGGGAGCAGGGTGGAGTGGGAGTTGTGCTGGGRGGTGGGGTGTCACGCAGAAAGAGTAGCTTCCAGGGAGTCTCCGCTGGTCCAATTGTCCCTGCAAGGCCCCTGGAACCAACCATCACTCCCACTGCACAGATGGGGAAACAGGAGGAGCCAGCGCAAAGACCAGGCAGGACAGGCCCTCTCCTGCACAGCAGTCTTGGGCTTCCTACCTCATGAACCTGGGTCAGGACCTCAGAAAAATCCTCCTGGGAGGGCAGCCCCTGCAGGGAGCAATAGAGGGTGTCAGGGAAGGTCAAGGCAAAGTCCCCCACTGCCTTCCCCAGGAGCTCAAGTGTCCTATACCTGGCCTTGCCCCCTGATCTCAATTTGATTTCTTCAGCAAACAGGGACTTGAAGTGTCCCTGTGTGTGACTGAATTGGACAGATGGACTGCCAGCACTCCCAGGACTGGAGGAAGGGCCTCTGTAACCTGAGGCAGGGTATGTCTAGTCCACTGCTGGTTCCTCAGCACAGGCTCTGAGTCAAGCATGGCACATCACTCAGACACAAGTGTTAGCCAAGTGAAGTCAGATTTCATCCGTACAGAGAGATGGACCTGCCTGATACATCCTGGAAGGGGCAGGATCACAGAAGGCTTCCTGGAGGCTTCCTGACCCTAAGCTGAAATATGAAGGGTAGTGGAGAGGGTGCTCATGGCAATGTCAACATTGTGGAGCAGTGTGCAAGGGAGCAGGTGCACTCAGTAGCCAGTAAAGCAGAGATGGAATGAGGATGAGGTTGGACAGTTGACCCTTATAGACAGCAGGGTCTTGAGCCATGCCGAGTATTGGGGCCCTGTGGAAGATTTTCATCTGGTGTAGAATTCAGATTGGGTTTAGACTCACTGGGGACTCTCCCTCAACCCCAGGTCTCTGTACCAGGCCTTGGCCATGTGATATGGCCAAACTGTGCACATGTGCACACACACAAACAACATACATGCTCACCCAGGCTTGCCCAGCTGCTGAGCTTGCAGCTGGGTGACCCTTTCTGCTGAGCCAGCATGGCCCCAGCATAAGCTCCAGGGAGGATGGGCTGGGCTGGCAGGGTGGGGGTGGGATCCCTTCTCAGCTGTACACCCTGAYAGGGAAGGGATGACCTCAGAAACCAGAATATAAATCCCTCCATCCATTATGCAGATGGGGGCACTGGGGCCTAGAGAAAGGTTGAGGCCCACTTAGAGTCTCACAGCAATCACTTCAGTCAAGGGGTCCCTACACCCCCAAGAACCTAGGATTTCCACCACCTCAGGATGTTCTTCTCTCCCTGCAGGAGGCACAAACCTGTCCCTTCCTCTGCTTAGCCCTCTCTAATCCTCAGTTCAGCAGAATTAGCAAGATAGGCCATCATCCAGATCTTGCCCTTACTGTTGTGGGGTGCACGAGACCGCCTGGCCATTTACCATGAGTGGGTGGTCTACAGAGACCTGGGTGGCTGCCCAGAGCCCTGCTTGCATCATACATGTCAACCCATGCAGCTCATGCCCTGGGCTGATCTCAAACAGACCCAGGCGTGATTGCTTGTCTCGAAGGCGCCAGAGGATGCCACGCCGGCTGGAGCTTGATGTGGCTGCTCTGCGTCCAGCCTCTGGGGARGGGGCCAGGACCTGGTGAGAAGAGGCAGAGGAAGCAAAGGGCAGGTGAAGTCATCTCAGAGGGGGAAGACCCAGGTTTAAGTTCCACTTCCACTACTGTGAGTCTTCCTCTCATCTTTCTCTGCCTCAGTCTCCTCAACTGTAAAACAGAGATAATGCTGTGCCCATCTCACCAGGTGTTGGCCTTCAGCATCCAAAGAGAGCAATGGTTATCCTAGGCAGAGCATGCGTTCTGCCGTCAAACCAAGCTGAAGCTGCCATCCTTTCATCAATCGCCCTGGGTAAACCCCTGCCTCACTTCCACCTGCAACACCAGAACTATAGTAACTCCTTCGCGGCAGGTATCAGCTGCGTTACTGTTGAGTTTGAGCTCAAGCACAGGAAGCCTTGACAGCAGGAGCTGTGATGCCGGTGATTCAGTCACATATCTGCGCATGTATGCTGAGCTCCTCCAGGCCAGTGTGGAGGGTCAGTCAGCACGATGCTGAGATCAATACCAGTTGGCCCAACATGTGTCCAGCACCGGCTGAGCTGGACCTCCTAACAGCCCTATGAAGGAGGAGCTTTTGTCATCATCCCCATTTTCCTGATAAAGGAAACTGAGGAAGACCTGGGAAATACCCGCCAGATCACCCTCCTTCTTCATACCTGTACCTCATGTGGGGCGTGTCCTGGCCCTCACCCAGGGTAGAGCCCCTCCTTGACTGGATGGGGGCGTGTCCGCGTTTTTGGCTGAGGGGAGGCCCAACCCCTGCCCACCAACCGTTCCCTGTCTTTTCTCAGRTCCGCACCTACCTCGCGAGGCCCGGGGCTTGGTGCGGCCATCGCCCCCACAGCAGCTTCCCGGGCTTTGGCCGCATCCCTGCCGCCCCGCTGCAGGATCCAGGCTCCGCCCCTGCCTCAAGGCTGACCAATCGCGCGGCACCGGCCTCGGCTGCGTCCAATCGGAGCGGGGGGCGCTGGCGATCGCCTGCAGGTCCCGCCTCCGAGGCTGCAGCATCTTTCAGACCGCGGTCCAGGAGGGGCGGGGCCGCGGGGCGCTAGCTAGGGTCCTGGTAAGCGAGGACCTCCACATTCCCTCCTGGGGTCTGGGATGCGGCTCTCCCGGCCCATGGTATGGGGGCGGGTAACCTCAATCCTGTCCTGCCCACTCATTCAGTTGTGAAATTCCCATCAATTGTCTTTGAAGAGATGAAACTAAGATCCAGAGAAAAAAAGTGACTACCTCCAGGTCACACAGGAAGTCAGAGCATCCATTCACTCATCGCATATATTTGGAACACCCACTTGGGGCCGGGAACAGGGCTAGGCCCCGGAAATTTAGTGGCAAGCAAGTGGGTAGAATACAGTCGCTAGTGTGATCTTTTAAAAGCATAAATCCGATGATGTCACTCTCATGCTTAAAGCCACAATGGAACAACATTCAAACTCCTTGCCATCACCCCAGGCCTGTCTGTCTGCCCCAATCTAGACCCAACCTTAACTATCCTCCCTCTCCACCCACCTCAGCCAGCCTCCTGGGTCCCTGCTGTTCCCTCACCAAACTCTTAGCTGGAGGCTCTTTGTTCCTCTGCTTAAAGTCCTTTCCCCCAGACTCTCACTTGCCTTGGTCCCTCTTGTCCCCTTGCAGGATTCAGCACCCTGCCCCACACTCTTGAGCATGTCACCTTTATTTTCTTCATTTCCCTTCACACTGTGAGATTGCCTGGGTCATTTATTGTCTTATTACATTGGCCCCCTAGAGAATGAGTGCCACCCATGCAGGAACCACATGGGCCTCATTTCCTGGTGAGTGTCAACAGAAACTGGTGCTTGATGAGTATATATTGGACTCTTGTGAGCAGGGGTTGCAAAGGGCCTTGATGAGTCCCAGGAAGTGAAAGACCAGAGTGATTGAAGTGATTAGAGAACATCATTAGGCATGTAGGGGCTTACTGGTGTGGTGGTTGACAGTGGTCTTGAGGAACCCGGAGAAGCATTATAAGTAAAGGCGAATGTGAGAAAGATGCTCAGATAAGCATTTTTTTTTTTTTTTTGGTGGGATTGGGGATAGAACTGAGGGCCTTGTATATGTTAGGCAAGCATGCTACCATTGAGCTACATCCCCAATCCCCCAGACAAGCACTTTATTTTTTTAGTTGTAGATGAACACGATACCTTTATTTATTTATATGTGGTGCTGAGGATCTAACCCAGCGCCTTACATATGCTAGGCAAGTGCTCTACCACTGAGCCACAGCCCCAGCCCCAGCTAAGCATTTTTGAAAGGACACTGGTATTATGTACAAATGCTCAATAAAAAAAATGTGGAGAGAGGAAACAGGAAAGGACACTGGTTATTGTGCACAATCACATTGGAATGCAGGAGAGGACAGTGAGGAAGCCTTCCCTGGTTTTGGCAGAGGATGGTATCTTGGCACCAGAAATATGGCTGGCTGGGGTGAGATTAGGGGAGGGAAAACTGGCAGAGGCTGGGGTTATGTGGATGCGCGGAGTTGGGAAGGAAAGCCAGGGTTGGGGACATAGAAAATCAGTCATGAGAGGGACAGGACTTGAAGGAAGCCAGATTTGGGGGAAGTGAGAATTCAGCTCATGATAGATGAATCTGGGGTCCCAACACAACCTCCAGCAGACAGCTAGGGACTAATGCATCGAGGCTGAAAGGAGAGCCAGGCCGAAGGCACCCCCTACTCACACGGGTCCAATGTATACTCATCAAGCACAAGCTTCTGCTGAGCACTGACTGGGAAATGAGGCCTGCATGGTTCCTGCATGGGTGGCACGTCCACTCTAGGGGGCAATGTAATAAGCCAATAAGCGAACCAGGCAATCTCAGTGTGAAGAGCGATGAAAGAAATAAGGTGATATGCTCAAGAGTGTGGGGAGGGGCACTGAGAGTCTGCAAGGTGACAAGAAGAAAGGTGATGTCACCCAGGGAGGGTATGGGGAGAGAAGGCCTGCAACCCGACCCTGAAGAGCCCAGCATCTCATGGCAGAATAGAGGAGTATGAGGGCCAGAGACATATCAAGCAGAACAGTCGTCACAGACTGAAAGATGTCACAAGCTTAATGGGAGCAGAAGTGTCCTTTGAATTTAAAGAGCAGACATCACTGATAGCTTTGGTGGGTACAGTCTTCCTGGAGTGATGGGGAGAAACTCAGTACAGCATGAGGTGTGGGGGGGACCTGAAGGGAATCATTGGGTTGATGGAGGGTCCTGTAAGCGGGAGCCTGGAGCATGGCAGGACATACTGGGAGGAGCTGCTTACACAGTTCCCAGAAGAGAGGGGACCATCAACGACAGGACACCTCTACTAGAGACAGGATCCAAAGCCCAGCGGGCAGCTCTGCCTGGCCTGGAGGATAGAGAGGGTGGAGCAGCTGAGGATGGGCCATTGTGTCTGCAGCTGGTCCCCTTTTCTCTGCGACAAGTGAGCACCCAAGKTTTGAGGGATGGAGGTTTTCCCTAAGTGCATCGGGGAGAGCTGAGGCTCAGAGGGGCTGGTGGGACAGATGGCCASGCTGTCTCCTCTGCCATCTCATTCAACAGAACACCCAGTGAAAGCAGCCTGCCACAGCCACACTGACTTGGGCTATTGGACGCAGGAGATGGACCACAGACTGGGGCACTTAGGGGAGTGACCCAAGGGTCCTAAAATATTAGACCATATTAAATTAAAGTATTAGAGGGGCATGCCTTTGCCTACTTCCCAGCTGTGAACTCTAGCAGTCAGAACTACATATGTCCCAGTTCCTGCTTTAGCCCATAATCAGCACAAGGACAGTGCAGAGCAGGCACAGCACAAACCCAGGTCTCCTGATTAGAGACCAATGTAGGACAGCTCCAAGCCCCTCCATCCCCGCTCCCCTGTTCAAGGAAGACAGAGAGACAAACATACCATCAACATTTATTGTTGAGTTCTCCCAAACAGGCCACTCTGGGCCAGGAGCCTGCTCGTCCTAGGTAAACATGGCCTGGGGGCCTGGGGTGGCTGCCTTAATGTGTCCCAGTGCCCTGGGGTCTTCAGGCTTTCCTCAGAGCTTTCCAGGTCCAGATGTCCTTGTGGGGTCTGGGCTGTGTCCGACTCAGAAGCTGCCTTTGGGGAGCAGCAATGCTCAGGGGACACAGGGAGAGGCCATGTGCTTCCTCACACCCTGCTAAGTCCCACGTCATCAGTATGTCACTGGAGGGAAACTGAGCAAGGAGGTGGAACCCAGAGGGAAAAGGGACAGTCTGAGAGTGAGGCGGGCAGGCCCTGAGACGGAAGGGAATGAAAGGGAGGCTTCCAGGTCTTTCTCCCTCCTCCTGGCTTCTGGAAGAGTGAGCAGGAGAGGCTTGGTCTGCCTGAGCAGCTCCATCCCTAAGAGGGCTGCATGGCAGCCAGGCTGGAGGGGCTGCCTTGCCTGGACTGTCCTACAGGCTCTGACCCTTGGTCCCTGCTCTGGAGGGGATGGACGGAGAGAAGATGCCGGCAGCCTCCTCTCTGTTAGGCCTTCACTGAGCCTTCTTGGTCACCCTCTGGTTCTTCAGCATAATATAGGTGATGAATAATCCTGGAATGTACGGACCAGAGAGACCAGCTGATACCATGCTGGTGGTGCTGGGAGGCCAGGGCAGGGTGAAATGACCACATGGAGAGTCATCTCCCTGCCCAACCACCCCCAAGCCAGCTGCTTATGTTCCTTCCCGTTCATCAAACTACAAATCCACTCATCCATTCAACAGTTATGGTGAGTGCCCGCCACAGGCAAGATGCTAGCTCCATTTAGTGCTTTAGATTCCATGGCCAACGAGGTCCATGTGTTATTCCCCTATTCATGCCCCTGCCCTCCTACTACCTGCCCACCACCCACCGGCTCATTAATCCCATTGTCCAGTCATCTGTTGATTGACACTAAAGCACCAACTCAGTGTCACAGCCTGTGCTGGTGCTGAAGACACAGTTCCTTTCCCAAGGAAGCCATGAGAGGTAAAGAGATGCAGGATCTATGATCCAGGGCAACAGGAGGGTGGGAAGTGACTGAGGTGTGAGCCAAGTGATGATGGCGGAGGGGAGAGGAAAAGGGAGACAAGCCTGAGGTATTGGGAAGACCAGAGAAGTTACTGACTTGTGGCCTAGAAACCTCAGGGAAAGTAGGGGTCCAGAAGCCTCAAGAAGATGTACAATAATAATAGCCAAAGTGTGAAAGCATGCCAAGGGTAGGAGAGGGTGGTGGCAAAGGGCGACATCCTTCCCAGGATTGGGGCTGATGACTTACCCACAAACAGGAGCAGCAAGAGACCCGCGGCCAGGGGGATGGCAACAGCATACGCTCGAGGGAGGAAGAACTTGTGGATGACATGCTCATTGTCGATGAATGGCTGGCATGAGGGGCAGAGCTCTGATGAGCACTGCTCACCCTGCCCAGCCCCCAAGCCCAAACATCCCATCTCCTCCAAAGGACTGACTCCATTCAGAGCACTGGGACAGCATTTGCTTTTCTTTAAGATGATAGCATTTTGGGTGTTGCCATTTGCTTCCTCTGATCATTTAAAAGTTGTTTGCTGAGCACTTGCTCAGTGCCTGCGCTAGGTTAGTGCTGGGGAGCCAGCAGTGAACAGAAGACAAAGGACCTGCCCTAAGAGAGTCTAGCTACGGGCCTCACCAGAAATTCCCAGTCTGGGTTCCCAGGTCGTTTTTTACTAATATTTTTTCTCTACAGGATATCAAGTTATGAGTTTGTCTTCCAAACACACTGCACTTATTAAGCAGATTTTATACCATATGAAAACAAAACAAAACCCCCCTAAAGTCCTCATAAAACCCATGGTTTCTCAATATACTCAGGAGCCAGCCGGCTAAAGGAAGTGCAGAACCCCCCTCAAAAGCAAAGCAAACCCGGATCAGGGCTTCCCAATGTTGTGCAACCTTCCAAGTGTAGCCAGGCAAACTTGGGCCAGACCTTTCTCTCTGGGCCTCAGCTTCATCATCTACAAAATGCAGACCCCACTAGCACCTTCTTAGTGCTTTCTGGAGACTTCATGACATAAGGCAAGTAAAGCAGCCCGCATAGTGCCTGGCACGTAGCAGCTGCTCACATGGTGTAAGGGGTCGACTTCAAGATCCAGGGATGGGGGAAGGTGAGCCGAGGGCGGAGGAGGCAGACATACCAAGAGGATCACCCAGGCGGTATAGTAGGTGAAGATGATCAGGCTAACAGCAACAAGACCGAGTCCCACCACCTGGTCTGTCCCTGTGGCCTGGAGAAAAGGGAGGGCTCAGAAGACGAAGCGACTATCCATTTAGGTGCATTACTGGAAGAGGCATCGCGGCCAATTTACGCTCTAAACTTCTCATTCACTCAACAGCTGTACAGAGTGGCGGATTCTGCATCATCTCCAGGCGCTCCCGCAGGGCTTCAGCATTTTCACCCGTACACGGGCCAGGAGAGAGCAATCCGGCTCCGAGTGCCCAAGCCTCCGCTCCCGAGCACCCCCCAGTCCCACCCCCAGACGCCTCCGACCCCACAGGCACCCGGCCTCAGCCTCACCATTTCCCCCCAGCTCCGCCACTTGAGCAGTGAACCACATTCAATTCCGGATCCGGGACCTTCCGGCCCTGGGCCACGGAGCACGCTGGGAGTCGTAGTCCATAGCACGCCCAGGCCCATATCACCCGCGACCGGAGGCCGCCCCCGCCCTTTGCATGTCGGGAAATGTAGTTGTTCAAGAGGATTGTAACGCGGGTTGCTTCCCGAATCTCCCTAGGGAGTGGAACCGAGCCGGGAACTCCGACTGCGTTGGTGGCCACACTCCTCTCAGACCCGCTCCTCCAAAAAGTCCATCTCTAAACATCCCATAGGCCCAAAGCCAGAGCTAGAAGGGGTTTCGGGTGTGAAGTCCCGTCTTCCAAAGATAATAATCGCAGCGGGTGATGAATCCGACGTTGGAACCTGGGACCCCACTCCCTGGTTCCCAGGCCCTAATTTGTCTGCTTAGGGAAGGAGTGCAAAGCGTGTTCACTGAGGAGGACTTTTTTGTTTCGTTTTTTTTTTTTTTTTTTCGGTGTGGGAACTGAATTTAGGGTCGTTCTCCCACTGAGCTACATCCCCAGCGCTTTTTATTTCTAGAGAGAGGGTCCCACTGAATTGCCAATGCTGACCTCAAACTAGCAATCCTCTTGCCTTGGTCTGAGATTTCGATTTCAGTTGCAGAGGGGGACACCCAACCCACTATGGCCTGGCTTTCCTGGCCATCCAGGTGACTCCTCCTTTCATCAACTGCACCTACGGCCCAGGGTGTCACAGGTTTCTGACAGTCCCTGTGGGCAGGTCTATCCTGTCTTGGAGGTGCTTTCCTCTGAGAACAAGGGGAGATTGGGCCAGATCATCTTTGATGCTTTCAGTGCCTGAGGTGGCTGCTTCTCACCCATCAGGTCTCACCAGATGCCACACTGTCCACAGGAAGCTGCTTTTTCTAGCTGGAGATAAGGGCTCCCCTGTGCCCCCACATGTGTTTCTGTCACACTGCTGTATTTGAATTAGCTGATTTGCTCCATGGCCTGGGCCTGCTTACCTGTGAACTCACTGAAGGTAGGGTCTATGGTCATGACTGTATCCCCAGCACCCAGAATGGGGCTTGGCACAGAGTGGGAGATGTGACTCATCCAGCTTCTGCTGTCTCTACTAGGAGCTTGGGCGATAGATGAGGTGGGAATCTGGCATAGCTCACTCTCTGGGGACAGAATGTCTTCTTGGGTTCTTTAGGTCTGTCACTGTCTTTAGGGGCCCCTGAGACAACTTCCCTCTCCCAAGGGTTGCATAGGGGAAGGAACTGATAATCGCCCTCTGGGGCTTAAAGGGGCCATGATTGGGGTCAGCCCTGAGGAGTGGAGATAATGATGTTTTGGGACAGTTAGTAGCTGCCTTCCTTTGGCCTGGCCCAAACCTCTAGGCTTCCTGCCACCTCTAAGCTCATTGAAGGCATGGGGTGACTTCACCCTTTCCCAGAGTTTGCTAACCCACTGGGCTCCTCTGTGGCTTGGGGACCCAGGAACAGGGTGAGGGGCCTGGAGACAAGGCCTTTCAGGGGCTTTAGAAAGGCTGGGAAGAGATGGCCACCTCCTGTGGCTTGAATTGTACACTCACATTTTCATTTATCTGCATTTGCAACTGAGGAACCGGGTAATTATTTGCCCTCAGGCAGACTCCTTTGAGGCCACCTGACCTGCAGAGCCTGGTCAGAACCCACTGGCTCAGATGTCAGAGCTTTCACTAGGTGTGAGCATGGCAACTGCCCGCCCCTGGGCCTGCTTCCTCCCCAGGAATCTGTAGTAATAAGGAAGTGACAACTGTGATTACAGTCAGGTCTTGGAGAACCTGGTCATCTAGGCCTTCCCCACCCATGGACTGTCACCTTAACACACCCAGCTTCCTTCTGATGTTGTCTTTGACCCCAAAGTCAAAATGGCAAATAGCAAGGTAAAAAACAAAACAGCAAAATAAACAAAAAATGCAATATTTAATCCCCACCCCCCAAACCAAGACACTGACACTAGGCTGAGTTCCCCTTACAATGTTATTTTCTATGACAGAAGCTGGGATAGAGATACAAACAGCCCACAGGATGGAGAGCAGTGGTGGCAACATTCTGTTAGAAAGGAGGATTAAAAACAAGAAACAAACAAACAAAAAAACCAACCCATGGTGCCCTCCTCCATCTCCTCCCTAGAGACAGGAAGACAGGGACATTCTCCATCCTGGCAGATCATTTGTGGGGTGACTAGAAAATAAAAAACCTTAAAAATATTGTAGACCTTTATTTTCTTTAAATCTCCTGGTAAAAACGTTAAACTGTCTTTCAAGAAGATTCCAGACTGGCATTGCACAGACCAATTCCTTTCCAAAAATATCTCTAATATATTCTCTCTGTATATATAGAATTTGAAGTGCAGGCACTGAAGGTGCCTGGTGGAATTCACTGAGCTTGAAGGAACCTGAGGGCTGAAGCAATGGCTCTCTCGTGGGGAGGCCAGAGCTCCAGGCCTCTGGCTCTAGCCAGCCTTCATTTGGTTAGGGTTAAATTCTCAGACCTGTTACCCTGACCCGGGGCTGGCCTGGGAGGAGGTGGCAGGCTGTCTTCTTTTGAGGGGACCATCCAGCTCAAACCTTAGCTTGTGTGGGGCTGGAGCGCCTGGTTTGGGGGAGTCTTCCCCTACAGCATCAAAGCTGCTTTGTGCCGAGAGCCCCAGAACCTTGAATCAGACCCCAATAAGACCCTGACTGCACTTCCTTGGGCTGGGTGAGGTCACAGGCTTCCCCATCTTCTAGGGGTCACCTCATCTGAGACAGTGCAGCCAGCTTCCTTTTAAAGTGCCAGGTCTCTGCCAGGTAGAAAAGACTCTCCAAGCTGACCAGAGCCTTCTCCAGCCAGAGCCCATGCTGTCACCCTGGCAGGCACCTTCTGACATTCACTTTCTAAAGAGTTATTAGGTGATTGAGACAATGACAACAAAAACCCCAGAAATGCTCTGGTCCCAATGCCAGGGAGTTCCCAACCCCAACTTTTGCCAGCTGGGGACTGGGTGAGGAACCCTCCCACCTGGGGAGGACACCTACACCCTACCCAGAGAGAACCAGAGCCCTGGCTTTGGTCCCACCTGGTTCCACAGTCCTGCTGGGACCCAGCCAGCAGGTGGGGGCAGAGAACAGAGGCACCTCCCCTCACTGGAGGAGGAGGAAACATCGAACTGAGAACTAAAATAAAGAGGAAAAAAAAGAAAAAGGAAGGGAAGAAGAAAAAAAAAAAAAAAAAACCTATAGGGCTAACTAAACACCAGCCAGCTGGGTTTATACAAAATAAGAGAGACTCGGGGGCAGGGAAGTCTGTCCAGGGCCTGGCAGGCGGCCAGAGCCCTCCTTCAAGCCAGTACAAGGACCACAGGCAAAAGTGCTGAGAGCAGGGGCTTGGTCAAGGGCAAGGCGGGGGCAGGGCCAGTCTGCTCCCCACTGGGAAAGCAGGCCCCTGAGGGACCCGACCTCTTCTGAACCTGGAGGTGGGGGTGCTTACAGAGGAGGGTGGGGACCTGTCTGGCAGGGAGCCAGCTCCAGCCAGAGCCCATTCACCTCTCCAGCAGGGCCACAGCCTAGGCCAGCTGACCTGAGCGCAGAGCTGGGGACTGTGCTTGCCCAGCCCTGCTGGGCCCCAGTCCTTCCCGCAGGAAAGCCAGCTGCTCAGGATCCAGCCCTGGGCAGAGGGTACCATAAGCTCAGGCCTTTCTCCGCACAGGTCTTAGGCCTGAGCTGGGCTAGAGAGAGCAGAGGCAGAGCCCCGTTCCAGCCGGGCTGCTTGACCCCGGGTCTCTGGCTGCACAGCAGCAGCACCCAGGAGTCCTCGGGAAGGTGGCACGGGGAAGGGGAAGAGTGGCCTGATGGGACCGTGCTGGGGACGAGCATGTGCAAAGTGCAGGCTGCCAGGGCAGCAGAACATCACTGGGGAGGGCGAGTTCTCATCTGGAATGCGGGTGGGGTCTGAGGTCTTAGCTCCCAGGAAGAGGCCGCCAGCGGTTCCCCCAGGACACAGGGAAGGGACAGCTGAAGTACTAAGCAGCGGGTCACAGGTGGCAGGATTCTGGGGGTGGTCTGGTCCCCTGAGGACATGGAGGCAATGGAGCAAGGCCTTGTTGGGGCCTGGCTGAAGCTGATGTGAGTCACAGGGGGTGAAGCCCCTTGGCCACAGCAGTTCCATATGTTGAGAAGCTGCTGCGCATCCTTGGCTGGGGGCCAGGTCAGTCTCTGCAGGAACAGTCTTGGCCATCTCTGTCTTCCTCTGCAACATGGGCCCGCCTGTCCTGCCCTCTAGTGGTTCAGAGAATATTCACAGTGGTGCCCAGGCCTTCATAGGCTAGGAGGCTCCCCGCGTGGATGGGAGGACAATGGAATTATGCTTGGAGGCAGGTGTGGGCTAGAGTACATGGATGAGGCACAGAGGAGATGCGGCACGGATCCGAAGGGAAAGGTTCCTCGTGGAATGCTGTGGGTCTGGATAACCGAGATGGCAGGGCCATTCTCCAGCCGGCTCACCTGCTCCTCAATGGCTTTCAATCACCACTGGCTCAAAGACCCCAGAGGAGACCCTGCAGGGAACAGAGATCGGCATGTCCCCTTGATGCTGCAGTTATAAGCACTTTCCTGGGCCAGGTCCTGGGGCTGCTTCAGAAGCAGGCAGTCCTGAGCTATAGAGGGGCTGAAATTGAAGCTCAGAAATGTGGTCACTTGCACAGGGTGACAGAGATGCTAAGTATCAGAGTCTGCAGGGGCCAGACAGCTGGCACAAGACTCTCCAGGGCACCAGTCACTCGTGCTCCCAGTGTGCTGCCCCCATCCTCATAGTCACCCTGGCTTATTTGAAAGATGATGAAACAAGGCTCAGAGGTTCGTGAGGTTTGCCTAGAAGGCCATGGAGGGAGCCTGGCCAGCTTTTCTCCCTACTATGGCCAGAACCACCAGTGAAGTAAGACATGGACGCTTGGGACACAGCATGCCACCTGCCATAATCTCCCCCCAGACACACTTCCTCAATTTCAGAGAGGGCTACGGAGGGGTGCTTACAAACTTCCAAGGAAGCCCCCAGTTTTCTTGCCCACTCCACCCAGGGCAACTCAAGAGGACTGTTGGGAGATGGTGACTGTAATTCCAAGCTTAAGCCAGCAGGGGTCAGCAGAGCAGCACAACATGGCAGGTTCTGGGCCCTGGGCTGTCTAGTTAAGTCTCTTCTGCTCTGGACCCAGATATTAACTGGGCACTCTTCCACTGAACACAGAAAAATTTTCAGCACAACCCTACATGCAGGAAGCGTGGTGAGCAGGTGTAAGCCAGGCACATGCTCTGAGCCGAAGCCTTGAGGAGCACCCCACCACTGAAGGGTTACTGCACAAGTCTGMCCCCCCCCCCCCCGCCTCCTCTCAATGTCACTGCTGCTCATGGCTGTATCCCTGGCACCTGGCTAAGTGCCTGATATGTAGCTGGTGCTTTAAAGAGTCATTGGGGATGGGGTTGTGGCTCAGTGGTAGAGCACTTGCCTAGCATGTGTGACACACTGGGTTCGATCCTTAGCTTTGCATAAAAATAAATAAATAAATAAAGGTCTATCAATAACTTTAAAAAATGTTAAAAAAGAGTCATCAATGTTATAAAGAGTCATCGCCAACATTATTTTATGGGTTCCCAGATCTAGCAGGAAGGGGAAGAAAAGTAGGGTCCAAAATAAACATGCATTAAGCCTCTGCTGTGTGCTAAGCCCTGTGCTAGACCCTTTCTCAGTGGCCCCCATCGGGAGAGTGTCCTTTAGGGTTCCACCAGAAGTGAGAGTCTGTCTACATCATCTGGTAGATGGGCAAACAGGCTCAGGAATATGACTGGCCCAGGGTCACACTGTGGTGACAAGGTGGCATTTAAAACCAGGTCAGGGGGCTGCAGACTGCTCTCACCACCTTGACCCATAGCCGCTGGGCAACCCTTCCCGTGTCCCTTTGTCCCTACCTGTTGGCCAGCTGGATGCCACTCAGAGTGGTGGAGCCATCACGGCTCACGAACAGCCGGAGGTTGCTGTCTGTGGGGACAAGGAGGATGGAGGTTGAGTAGGGGTGGGGACACTCCCAGAGCAGGCGCCATCACCCCAGCTCACTCATGTGGGCAAGCTCACCCTCAGTGTTGCTGCCATCCGTGAAGTCTTGGCTCTGCATGATCTTCTCCACGATGGCGTCTGCGTCAATCCGTGTATCGTCCACCCACGTCGGGTGGCTTTCCACTGAGTCCTTCTTCCGCCTGGGTGGGGGATGGACAGAGACACATCAGTCAGAGCGGCAACAAGACACTTGGAATGTTCCAGCTGCATTCCATGTTGCATTTCATTTAACCCTCACACCAACCTAAGGCTGCTTTGACAAAGAGGACATTGGCCTACTCCAGGCCTCAGAACGTGTATTTGGAAGATCTAAGGCTCAACTCGGGAGCACAGAGTCTCCTGGCCCACTGACCATGCTCCTGACCAAGTCATAGAATCATAAACAACATTAACTACACACATGCGGCTTGCAGGCCTGGGGCTATGTCCCTTATAACCATCAGCAGTTGACTGTCACCACCCAACCCTCTGAAGTGGGGACCCTGATGGTCCTGTGTAACAGGTGAAGAAGTAAGAGCTGGAGGGGGGCACTGGGAGGGGTCTGTCCTTCCAGGAGCACTGAGCAGTGGGACTCACCGAAATGAGCGGTCTGACAGATGCAGGGGCCTGGGAGGCCTCGGTGGCTTCTCAGGTGGCCGGTGCTCCCGCTCACCACCCTCAGCGCCCTCCACAGCTATGCTGAGGCCCCCAGAGGCACTACTGCTGGTAGATGTGTTTCGGCGGTGGGTCAAGTCCGAGAGGCTGGAGGAGCAGGAGTGCTCCGTGCTATAGCCTGGGAGGTAGGAGGACAGCCACGGAGAGGGTCATTAGGAGGAATCTGGGGATGTGGGAAGACATGGGAGCGGGGCCAGGCCACCACTCACCAGAGATCTTGGACTGCTGGCTGGCATAGCTGGAGTTACGGGAATGGCCGGAGTGGAACACTTCCTCGGGGCTGGATAGGTTCTGGTCTGGCTCCTCTGGGAGCCCTGGAAGGAAAGCAGGGTTACCCAGAGGTGCCCCCCTCATCATCCACACACTCAGCCTTCCACAGGGGCGCCCTATCTCCACATTACAGACCGAGAAACTAAGATCTAGTAGGAGTGGCAACAACCTACAGTCACCATCTGAACCCAGGTCCCTTCATTCCACAGACAGCTTTTGGGGACCTCCTAGTACTGGACAGCAAGGAGGAAGGCTGCCGAACAAAAATTGAGCCACAGGGGCTGGAGATATAGCTCAGTTGGTAGAGGGCTTGCCTTGCATGCACAAGGCCCTGGGTTCAATCGCCGGCACCACAAAAAAAAAAAAAAAAAAAAAAAGCAAAAACTGAGCCGCAATCACTCCTATCTGCAGTGAGTGATCTGGAGCGGGCCCTGGCCAGGCTGAGGCTGGAAGGGGAAAGCTTCCCTGGGAAGATGGCCTAAATGCCAAGACCTCTGGATCACACACGCAAGGAGGCAGCCAGACAGGGCATCAGGGAGGAGACAGAGAGGAGACACAGACAAAGGCCTTGAGGCTGCGGTATGGGAGGAGACCTAGTCAGGTGAAGGAGAGCAGGGTGGGCAGGGGCAGGGGAGCAGGCCAGGCCCCAAAGGACAGCTCAGTGTCTCTATCCCAGTGCACTTCAGAACGCACTCCCCAGCAGAGACACGGGGAAGGGGCTTCTGCTGGGCTTTGAGTGCTGCCCACCAGCCTCCCTGCCAACACACAGGACTCACCCACTCCCTGCTCCAGAAACAAGCACCCCCAGGCCATGGGCTGGACTCTAAGCCTGTCAATGTGCCCCCTAAAGCCAGGTGTCTCTTTAAATCTCAATAGGTTCTCTGCATTCCGTAGGGGACCAGCTGCAGGGACAAGTGGGGACTCAAAGTCCACCCAGCCCAGGAGAGGTGCCTCTCCCACCCTGCACCAGGACATCTGTGTTGGGGTGGTCAGGATCCCAGGCAGCTGTCTCCTCTGGGAACCCCCTGCCCGGTGCTGGAGAGAGCGTGGTGCCCGCAGCTCTTCCTGATGCAACCTCCAGGCCACGGCAGGCAAGAACCCAGCTCTGCTCTGGGCCTCTCTTGCTGCATTAGTAAGAAAACAGGGCCCTTGAGGTCAGAGGGGTCCCTCACGCGTTTAGGCTCTGGGGGCAGAACCACCCAAGAAGCATCTGCTGAGCTACCTGAGGCCTACCTCCTCTCTAACTACTCTTGTGGGAATGTAGTGACTATTAGCAATCCCACTTTTTATTTCTTTATTTAGGAAATGCAAACTTTCATATACACATACCACATTATAGATAAATACATAGCAACATGGATGACACTCACAAACATTAAAATGAATTACAATAACTAAGTCACTAAGTCTTTTTTTTTTTTCATTTTTAAATTTTGAGACAGGGTCTCACTTAGTAGCTGAGGTTGGCCTCAAACTTATGTTATTTATTTATTTTTTTTAGCAATCCAATTTTTTAGAGGACACTGGTCCTGAAGACGTGTAATGGTTAGTCAAGTTCACCTAGCAAGGGGGAGGGCAAGAGCACATTCATCTGCCTGGCAAACCGTGTCCCACACCCAAGGTCACAGTGCAGATGCCACCTCCTCAGGGAGGCCTTCGCTGGGCACTCAGATCCCACCTGCTGGGCTTGTTCCCCCGTTCAGCACATCTGCAGGTGGACATGCCTGGGATTTATTATAGTTTGGTTAATGCCCATTTTCCCTCTGAGACTGGAGGGCCACGAGGGCAGGGACACTGCACCCTCTAGTGGTGCAGGCCCCAGCACTGTGGCCAGCGCAGTAGGTGCTTAGACCGTCTGTGGAAGCAGGGCAGACACACACTGTCCACCACAACCTTTTCCAGCACCGTCTCCCCCAGGGCGCTGCTGAGGTAAAAGCAGGTCCTGGGTAGGGGAGGGGTGGGAGGTGGGGAAACGGTACCTGAACCCAGGATGGTGGGTCGGGCCTTGGAGGGCCGGGACCCTGTCAGGGAGTTGGTGCTGCTGCCGCCACCGCTGCTGGTCCCGCCACCTTTACACGTCAGCTGCAGGGAGGAGTCCTGGCCCGGGATGGAGATGGACTTGGCAGTGGAGGGTGGCCTTGGAAGGACAGAGAGGTATGACCAGGGTGCCCCCTCTCAGGATTAGATGGAGACAGGAGCCTCAGGGCCTGGAGGAGGGAAGAGTCCCCGTCCCCTCATCCCCTGAGCTCCCACCCCTCCTACAACCAGGCCAGCACTCACGTCTTGAAGCAGGGGTCTCCAGAGAGCAGGAACATACCAATGGTGACCTATGGGAAGAGGGGAGGGGTCAGCCGTGCTGCCCAGCAGCCTCCTGCTCCTCCTGCACGGCTGGGGCTATGGCAAAGCACCTGCTCACACTGAGCACCCGTTTCCTGCGTGGAGGCTGCAGTGGATCCTGAGGCCTGCCTGGCGGGTGGGGAGATGCCGCGAGATGGGTCCGCTCGGCTGGGCACTGCAGGGAGTGTGTAAGTTGGCTCCTCTTATCTTAAATTATGACTAGCTATTGTGTACACGGACTACTGTGTCACAACAAATCCCTCCACTGACTACACCATAATGCATCAATAAAAATGAAAATTAAATTATGACCAGACACGGAGCTCCTCCAGGGCTGGGCCACATTCACACCCATCTGCAGTGCCCAGCTGTGTGAGGGAGAGCCCACCACGACAGGAGTGGGAAGAGGTCTCACAGAGCCCCTCATGGGTCTGGGGGATGCTCACAGGGTCCACCAGGCAGGCGGCAGCTGGGACAGTCCAATGAATGTAAAGCATGAAGCCAGTTAGGAACTGAATATCCACTTGGGCAAAGACAGGCAATGGCCTTTTCAATTCTTATCTTGAGACAGGGTCTCACTAAGTTGCTGGGGCTGGCATTGAACTTGTGATCCTGTCTCAACCTCCACATCACGGGGATGACAGGCATATACCAGCACACCTGGCTTGGGCTTAGTGTTTTTATGGGTTGTTCACTCAGTCACCATAGTGGCCTATAAAGCAGGCGAAAGCCCTGAGTTTTTAAAAAAAAAAAAAAAAAAAAAGACTGGGGGAAGTGACTGCCTAAGACCTTGCAGATGGGATGTCGGGGCGATGTCCTTGAATCCCAGGCCACTTGACCCCAGGCTCCCTTGACCTGTTCTGGCTGAGGGTGCACAGGCTTACTACTGGGGAGGTTGAAAGGCCTGGCCCCAGTACAGCCAGCCTGGACTTCTCCCGGTACCTCTGGAACCCCTGCCACCATCTCATGCCCAGTTGTGCACAGGGCGCAGCTGGCTCCTCCTGGGTCAGCTCTTTGGGTGGGGTTAGGATGAGCCCGTCTTCTCAACCAGGTAGAAAGGTGTGGAGAGGGAGGAAGAGGTATGCTGGTAGTGGCCATCCAGACATCTCTCTTCCCAAGAGGCCAAAGAGGCAGCTGCCCAAAGGGTGGGAGCTGTCCTGGCCACTGGAGACCTGTACACGGCCAGCAGTCGGAGCAGGCTTCCCCGGTGCACATGGATCAGGACACGGATTCTACCCCCCCACTCCAACAGGAGCCAGGCTGCCTCAGTCAGGCAGGGCAAATTGGGGTGTTAGTGTGTGTGTGTTTTGCTGATGGAAACTAGTGCCTCATGTTTTCGCAGGCTAGGCAAATGCTCTCCCACCAAGCCCCCCTCAGACCTCAGGCAATGTTTTGGGGGTCAAGTACCAGATCTCCTGTGAGGGGGCAAATGATGGAACTTATATTTCAACTCCCCTCCTCCTGCACACACCTGGGGCTTCAACCAGCTACCGTCTGGTCGTGAGGTAGGAGGCGGCAAGCACTCAGCACAAGGCTGACTTGGTGAACATGCTTGCCAAACCCTCAGGCTGCTGGGTCCATCCACCCACCACAGATGGCAAAGCTGAGGTCCTGATCCCAGGGCCCACATGATGCCCCCATCCCTGGGCTAGGGGTTAAGTCCAGGGCCTCATGCATGCCAGGCAGGAACCAGGCAACTGAGCTGCACCCAGCCCCAAGAACCTGTATTTTAATAACCCTCTGGAGGATTCTGCTGGGAGTCAGGTCCATCCTGGGAGGGATGCGAGAGGCAGCAGGGTCCCTGGTACCTTGAGGATGGAGTTGTCCTGGCGGGTGTTCTTGGTGTCGTATCCCTCCAGCAGGCAGCAGCGCACTGTGGAGCCTGAGCCTGCAAACTCAGCTAGGTTCAGGTCGGCGAAGCCCAGCTGCGAGGGGAAGAGAAGCGTGTGGGAGGCTGCAGCGTGTGGGCACAGGCAGCAGACCTCCGCAAGGGTTAACTTGCAGAGGTGGAGGAGGGGAGGGGAGGGCAGGCACAGTCCCGGGGCCACCCCATGGCCCTCAGAAACTGTTGCATAACTGGCACCCAGGCACTGGACCCTGGGTCGGCAGCACCGACGTGGCAAAGCCAGGAGCTCACATCCCTGAGTGGCACAAAGCACCCTTTGTGCGCGTCCCAGTGTGCACTGAGGCCAGCACGCCTGAGATGAAAGGACATTGTTGTCTGTGACACAGACACATTGTTCCCTGGGAAACAAGGCTGTGCTGTCGAGAGCTGCCAGGAGAGCGGGAGCGGGAGGAGGGGAGGCCCGTGGGAACTCGGCAGGGGGGTGAAGGGGCACCCCACGAGGGGGCCTGGGAACAGAGGAAGGGACCCTCTGTGGAGTGGGCAGGATCCCCAGGGAAGTGGGGCTGGTGGGCAGAGTCCAGGGTCAGACGGGGGCTGCTCAACGCCGAGTGGAAGTGAGGAGCAGGGATGGGAAGGGAGTGAAGGAAACCCGGAAGCTCAGGAGGCTGTGAGCTAGACACAAGCCTCATCTGGTGACTGTGGGGGAAACTGAGGCTGAAGTGCAGGGTGCAGGGCTTGGGGACATCAGGGACAACCTAGCCTATTGGGGACATTTACTGGATACCAGCTACATAAAAGTGTCTACTGCAGTGTCTGGAGGCACAGGCTCCAGAATCAGGTCACTGGAGCCAGCTCTCCCACTGGCTCACAGAGGGACCCCCATTTTAAAGATAAAGAGACTAAATTCAGGGACAAAAGTGACTTCATCAGGGACACATGGCTTGACTGGCAGGGACAGTACAGGAGCTAAGCCTGATCAGCAACACTGCTCTAGGCTCTGTGTCGTCCCCAGTGACTGGTGCACTACTGAGTAGTGGGGACACCTTACTGCAAAAGGAGGGGCAGTTTCTGCCGAGCTGGGATCCCATCAGCACCCCTCAATATGTTCCTGGTTGTTTGCTGGTGGCTTCTTTCCTAGGTGGGTAGCTGTCCTCACCCAAATAAATCGGTAGGGGAGAAATGTCCACTCTAACAGCTCCTTCCACAGCTGATTCCAGCCACCCTGTCCTCTGTGCCAGGGCAGCCCACAGGATTTGGAGCTCTGCGGGTGGAGAACCGGGTGGCTCAGCTTCCACAGGCTTCATGCAGGGGGAGAGGCGAGGCAAAGGTGCGTCCCCTCCTGCCTGATGACAGAGCCCAGGCTGCTGCTGCTGGGCTGGCCACCTAAGAGCCACAGAGGGTAAGCTGAGAGCTCCCCACCCGGGGAGGGTGGGCAGGAAGTTCCCACAGAAAGGGCTGAGGGCAGAGCAGGCTTATTCAGAGCCAGCCGTCTTCTCCCACTTTCCCCGCAGAAAGGCCTTCACCACGCAGGGCTGAGCTGTGCACCGTCTGTGAGAGCCCAAAACAACACAGATGCCAGGACTGAGCCTGGCTCAGTCAGCTGTGGCCAGCCCTGCAAAGGGAGCTGCTGCCACTAGAAAGCACAGAAATCTGCGATGACAAGAAAAGATGCCCAGGATGCACTGCAAGTAAAAACCCCAAGCTATAGGGTTCGTGTATTTATAAAGTCATATTGCTTTCAGGCACATGAATACATGTAGAGACACTCATTTTATAGTTCTCTAAATAAAATGTGTGTTTTTACTTATTCAATATGTAAAATACTTCTTTCATGTTTTTCCTTAAAAGGTCTGAGAGTATAGGTCCGTGGTAGAAAGCACTTGCTTAGCAAGCATGAGGCCCCAGGTTCCACCCCCAGCACCACAAAAACAGAAAAGAAAAAGGTCAGAAAGATCCTAACCACCCCCAGTGGTGAGGTGGAGAAGGAAAGAGGAGGGGGATCATTCTATGAACCTGCAAGTTGTTTGCAGCCCTAGGTTTAATCCCCAGTACCCTCCCCACAAAAAAAAAAAAACAACAAAAAAAAACACACTCCATTTCATGTAGGGCTGAGTGTCTCCTGTTTGGAGCAGAGAGAGGGCTAGAAATCCTTCTGGAAATTTCTCGTAGGCCCATCCAGTGCTACCCCAGCCCATCCCACCACCCTTCACACAGTTCCTCTTACCTTAGAATAAGCCTTCCCACCTTTCAGCTCCTACACAGGGAGGGAGACACAAGCAACAGGGTGAATGGAACTCTAGGCACCTCACAGGTCTCCCCAGATCCCCCCCAAATTTGTGTGCCAGGGAGGAAGAGGGCAAGGCAGGTCCCACATTTTCCCCATGAGGGGGTGTCAGGGAGGGGCCTAAAGCCACCAGGGAAGTCACCCCCACCCGCGGCCCTGGGTTCCCAGGCCCAGGGCCCCGGAGCCCAGCCTCACCTTGCGCACAGACACACGGAACACGCAAGGGTCCAGCAGGCCCGTGGCTGGGTTGGCGCTCATCTTACACACGAAGGTGAACCTCTTCCGCCAGCGCACGCAGTTCTCCTGTACCTCCTCCCTGCAGACCAGGCCAGACAGTGAGTGTGAGACAGCTGGGCAGGGTCCACACTAGGGGGCCTGTACCAGCGGAGGGAGAGAACCCTCACTTCCCACTTCGTATCACAAGTCACGGTATTTTCACAAGAATTGCCTGGCTCCTGCTGGCCACTTCCCGTGGCCCACATCAGACTTCCAGGCTTCCGCCAGGGGAACACCCCAGGTGAACTGGCCCTCAGCCTGGTCCTGCCAGACTCCAGCCCCTCTTCACCACTGGTAACAGCAGCAGCAACATCCAACGGCTACCCCTGTGGGCTGCTGCTCATGGGGCGTGCCTGGCACTGTCCAGAAAACTGAGAAGCCGTGGCCGCGGGCGGGGGCTCAGCTGAGTGGCAGAGCTCCTGCCTAGCACAGGTGAGGCCCTGGGTTCGAGCATTAACGTCACATCAAAATAAAACAGAGGCAGGCTGCTCATCCACAACTGCAAAACAAAAAGGCCACGGTCACTGTGCCTGCCTGGAGTGCAGACAGGTGATAGTGCCCAACTCTCCTGACCACTATCAGCCGATTCCAGGACCCAGGTGTCCTAGAGCTGTGACTCCCTTCAGAGGCCCAGCGCCAGCAAGAGCAGAGCAGAACGGAACACAAGCCGCCCAGCTCTAGGCCCCCGGCTTCCCGGAACTGACTGGGGTTTGGCCATCCCCCGAGTCCCTCCTAGGCCCAGGAGCACAGCCACACAGGCAGACCCAGCACCCTTTACTGGGGAATCAGAGCGATGGGAGCCACTGAGCCGAGCTGGGCCAGCTGATGTGGGGGCAGCAGGAGCCCGTGAGCCTGCCTGGCCTCATCCCATCCACCCGGCAGAACCTGTGCTCAGGAAAGGGTGGCTGCGGAAGGGTGGGGGTGGGGTGAGAGACCATATCTCAGCTCATCCCACCTAACCGGATGGCCAAGCAGACAGCTGAGGAAGTGACCTCTCTGCACCCTGGGTGACCCGAGGAGCTCAGGTTAGCCACCTGATGGGGCCTCAGGGTGGAGAGTCAGCTGGCAGAGAGGCATCCTCTGAGCCCCGAGCTTGCTCTGAGGGCACTAAGGCCCCCACCCAAGATCACAGCCCCGAGACTGACAGGCAGAGGGGCAGGGCTAGAACCAGGACTTGGCTCATAGGCCCAGAGCCCAGGAGAGCCAGGTGGGCAGGCCCCACAGGCTCATGGGGCCAACAGTACCCTGCTATGTCCCTGAGACACCCAGCCATGTCCATCTGGAAACTGGCTCATAATTCCTCAAAAGGTTGAACACAGAATCACCAAATGATCCAACAATTCCACTCCTAGGTACACAGCAACAGAAATGAAACCCATATCCACAAAGACTTGCACATAAGTGGCCACAGCAGCCAAAAAGGGAAAGCAATCCAGATGGCCATCAGTGGGCGAACGGATAAATAACTCGTGGTCCAGTCACATGATGGAATATTAGTGGGCAATAAAGAGAAATGAAGCACGTCACATGCTACACCGCTGTTACCCTTGGAAACGTCAACAGTGAATGGCTGGAGCAGACACAGGGGCAACAGCACAAGGTCTCATTTCTGTGAGATGCCTAGAGGGTAAATCCATGGCAGAAAGGAAACTGGGGGTTGCCAGGGCTGGGAGAGTTGGGGAGATGAGTGGCAGTTAACGGACATAGGGTTTCTTGACGGAGTGACGAAAAGGTTCTGTGAATGACATAGTGATGACGGCATATCCTCTGAATGTTAAAAACCACTGAAAGGCTGGGGATTCAGCTCAGTTGGTAGAGTGCTTGCCTTGCATGCACAAGGCCCTGGGTTCAGGCCCCAGCAGCATAAAAAAACAAAACAAAACACATAGCATACCTGTAATCCAGAGACTCAGGAGGCTGAGGCAAGAGGATCACAAGCCTCAGCAATTTAGTGAGGCCCTAAATAAAAAATAAAAAGGGCTGGGGATGTGGCTCAGTGGTTAAGCACCCCTGGGCTCAATCCCTAGTGCCAAAAAAACAAAAACAAAAACACCACTGGACTGCAGGCTGGGAATGGCATGCCTGAGGCCCCGGGTTCACCCCAGCACCCGAAACAAAATCAAAAACCCCCACTGGGTTATGCGCTTTAAATGCGTGAATTGTATGGTGTGTGGACTGTCTCTCAATAGAACTGTTCCCCTACCCCTAAAAATATATATGGTGGGTCAGGTAGAAACAGGGAGGACAGTACAGGGAAGGTGGGTGCTGGGCAGAAGTTCAAGGCAGTGGCTGCTACTTCAGGTGGGTGGCTGGTGATGGCCTTTATGGCAGTGATGTTGGAGCAAGGCTCACAGTGAGGGAGGGTGTGAGTGTGAACAGCAAGTACAAAGGCCCTGAGGTAGAAACGAGCACAGGAGCAGGTAGCTGGAGAGAGGCCAGCAGGGAGACGGGTAAGGGAGAATGGGGTGAGGTCCTACTGGACCTCCAGGGTCACAGTGAGGATTCTGGATCTCATTGGAAGTGACTACTTGCCCCATGGACTATGGCTTAGGCTGAGGCTGAGAGCAGACACAGAAAGGAGGCAGAGGAGCAAAGACAGAACAGAGCTGAAGAGGCTGAGCTCAAAGCCTGAAGAGAGGGAGGCGGGCGTGGCCAGCTCAGGCAGACCTCAGGCCTCACCCACCCGGCGGGCAGTGCTGGAGGCTGTTCAAACAGCCAGGGGAGGTGAGGTAGTGCTCGGAACTCTGTCCACTGCCAGGGGAACGCCCGGTCAGGAGGCCCCAGGCCCATGTGTGGTTCCTGTCAGCCCTGCCAGGTCAGGCCTGGGAAAGCCACAGGGAGACCTTCCTGGCTCAGGTGACAGGCGTGTCCCCTCCTCTGCAGGAAGGTGAGCCTGGGTAGGGCCACAGGATTAGTGTGGGGCCTCTGTCCTGTTCCCGCAGGACTCTAAACAATGGCCTATTAGATGCCACCACTCCCACGGGAACAGCCTCACCCTGGCCCACCCCGGGGTCACAGCAAGGTAAGATAAATGCCACAGGGGCGGCCCCTTCCTGGAGGCCTACTGTGCCCCCCCCACTTCAACGACAGGTGACTCTTCCTGGCCCAAGTTTCACATGAGGAAAGGGAGGCGCCCATGCTCCGCAGCCCACCCCAAATCCCAGAGCTGTGGGCAACAGAGCCATCTGGACCCCAGCCCATCTTTGCCCAGGGCCTGGGTCACAGCCCTAAAGCCACATCTGCCACCAGGACAGCACAGGCTCCCCATCAGACCCAGGGTCCCTGCAGAGGGAGGGAGCTGGCCAGGTCAGGCTGAGGAAGCCTGAGACCTGATTCACTCAGAACCTTTTATGAAGCACCCACTGCATGCCAGGCACCCAAACCCTAAGACACGAGTAGTAAACAGCAGGCAGAGTCTTGCCTTCACGCGCTGGCACATGCCCAAGAGTGGCAAGTGCCGTGGGGGAAGGGAACTTGGAACAGAAGTGGGCAGTGCCCAGGCAAGGGGGACATGAGAGAAGGTGGCCAGGGAAGGTCTGAGCAGGAACATCACCGCGGAGCCCAGAGCTGCAGTGAGAGGTGAGGAGACCGGGAAAGCAATCCTGGCTGAGGAACAGGAGTGCAAAGGCCCTCAGGCAGGATGCCTGCTGCCACTGTGGAGCCGTGAGGGGCCTGAGTGGCTGGTACAGAGGGAGCAAGGGACAGAGGGGTGGGAAAGGAGCTCCGAGGGGGGGCTCAATCCCAGTCTTACAAAGGGACCGTGTGAAGGCACTGGGAGCCGGGAGCACCGCCTGTGCAGGAGTGGCCACAGATGGAGGGTTCACGTTCACGTTCACATCTGAGGAAAAAGCCAAATGTGTAACAGGGGACTGACCACTCAACGGGGTCAAGTGAGCAAGTGCCAGAAAGAAGGGGGAGGAGGGTGGCGGTCTGCTCACCAACAGGGAAGGACAGCCATCACAGTTCAAACAAAATGCAGAAGCGTCCCACATTTTTTAAGTGACATGTACAAATGTCCATGTGCACAGAGAAAACTGGAGATGTCCACATGGCACTGCATAGACTCAGCCTGCCTGGAACACTGTTGGCCAGGCACAGTGGCACCCAACATGTGTCCCCAGTGACGGGGGGGGGGGGAGTGCAGTGAGCTCACTAGTTGCTTAAGGCCTTGCTAAATTGCTGAGGTTGGCCTTGAACTTGCAATCCTCCTGCCTTAGCCTCCTGGGTGTCTGGGATTACAGGTGTGTGCCACACGTCCAGCCAGAAATGCAATTTTAAAATGACAAAATCTCAGGTTGCACAAGGCCCTGGATTCAATCCTAGTACTAAATAAATGAGTAAAATAAAATGACAAAACCAAAGCCCAGAGGAAGAGATCATTTCAGCCCAGGGAGGCCCAGAACCCTGGACTCCTGGCTCCCCAGACGTAGCTTATTGACACTGGTGTAAGGGGACAAAGGCAGAAGGAAGGTGGCAGCTCATCAGGTCTGTGGTGCAGGTCAGGGATGCCACCTTCATTTGGTCCCAAGAGTTGTGCCCAGTTAATTGAATTTAAATTGAAAAAGGAGACGATGGGATGAGGATAGGAAGGCAGGGTATAAGCAAAGCGTGAAGTACCAGCAGCCTGAGTCCTGGGCCACCCCCTGCGGAAGCACTGCCAGTTGGCCCCACCAGTCAGGGTTTAGGGCGTGCTTCCCAGTTCCCACAGCTGGGGACAGGTAATTAGAGAGACTGGTTTCTTTTTTAGCTATAAGACACACAATTAGACGTGCAACTCCCAGCGAGACAGGGCGAGCCCTCCGTTGGCCGCAGCCTCTGTGACCATGGCAGAGGCAGAACCCAGCTATTTCTGAGCTGCCCTGAAACAGAGTGGAGCCCCCCACCAGCGGATATCCTCAGAACCTCCCCACTCTCCTGGAACCTGGACCTAGCTGCTAGGCTGGCTCTCCGTGACRCACCCATAGAAACCTGCTGTGGACGCTCGTTGAGGGAGTAGGGCATGATGTGGGCACACCTCCTGGAGAGCCCGGGTCAAGTGGG